AGTTCCCCGAGTGGCATTGAAAGTCCACTCAATAATGAACCAGATGGTGAGTCTGGGAAAGATGTGTGCAGACTTGGCACAAGTACAAGTGTCAAAGATTCTAAGCCAATAGTAAGAGTTGAGCAAACAAAGGGTCTCTAAATTAATATTAAAGGTGTTGTAAGATTGCCCGAAGGGAGTCAAGTTATCCAAGGTGATGGATGAGCCCAATATCAAGTTGTCCAGGTAAGAGGACGAACCCAGGATCAAAGAAGCATTGAAACTTAGCTCAATAAGGTTTTTTTCTTCCAAGGTGAGTGGGAGCCAAGTACATGAAGGGTTGTTCGTGTCCAAGGAGTTTGTCAAGCATGTTCGTGTAGAGAACATGACTTCAGAGACCATTATAAGAGAAGGGTCGAATGAGGTTCTTACCAAGGATGTTCACGTGAAGAAAAGTCCATTAGACACTATTAGACAAAAGTCGGAGGGGGCCATGACTTTGAAGGACAAGGCAACCATGGAGAGAATACCCATTTTTAAGGTAGGAAATGAGCTCCAACCTTGCAGTTAGAATGGAGGAGGCAAGAAGGGGCATCAGGCTTTACCATGAGAAAATATTGATGCATGGTGACACGAAGAAATCCAATGAGGAGGGTTCCATGTGAGGAGTGTCAGACTTTATAGATTAAGAAAGATTGGCGCATTTTGAGTAAATGCCATGAAATCATAGGGCAAGATACATATCAACATGATTCTAGTGTTCTTTTTAGTTTGATTTGTTGTCTTTAGTGAGCGTCGGTCGAGTAAGATTTAACCTTTAGCGCGGATAAAACAAAGTTTGGAGGGAATCCAAGACTTTACCACAGGGCTAGGAGAGTCCAAGCTGAGACAAATCAAGACTTGTAGGAAATAGTTCCTAGGAAAAGATGTAAAAATGGGTGTGTTTCGATTTCATCCCTTGGCGGCAAGAGCCAAATCAAGTATAGCCTTTATGGGGAGTCCGAGTCCTTATGAGGGGATGTGAGGAAGTAGAGGCGTCGAAAGGCAACCAAGTTGATATGAAGTATGGCGCGAGAGATCATAAAGTTATATGTTGCAGAAGACAATGCAAGCAGTTTGTGTGGGAGGACCGTAACATGCCAAGGCATTAAGAAGTATCCAAGGTGATGTTGCTTAGGATTGTCGAGTGGAGTGACGAGGTCGTCGCAAGGTTTGGTGGTAGAGAATGTCATGGGTTGTGATATTTGGGTCTGATACATTGGCGCAAGTGTCTGTTAAAGAGGTCCTATGAAGAATATGGGATTTCCAAGGCCACCAGACTTGGGTCATCACTTGGAGAATGTTGTAGAGCCCATTCACATTGACCGTGCAGAAAATGAATGTGACATCATATCCGAAGATGATCATATTAGATCGATAATTATGGCAATAGATAACAAATTAGGAAGATATTGGGGCGATCTTACCATATCCAGTGTGAAAACCTATCCAAGAAAAGAATCCTACTAATGGATGTAATTAGATAGGATTGGTTTGGTGTTTCCTTGATTTAGGGGATCTTGTATTAATTGGTCTTATTTATTGACGTAAATCGATATAGGCCCTTGATTGAGAGGGAGATCAACTATAAATAAAAGCATCTCCTTCTCATTTGTATTCATTCATCCATTCTTTCATTCATTTATCCATTCTCTTGGGAGAGAATCATAAAACTCTAAGGCATTTACTTTAGTTATTTGCTCTTTATTCTCTTTGTGTTGTTGTCTCTCTTGGTGGCTAGGAATAACCACGCTTTTGTTTGCACTTCCACACCATAGTCCAACCTTGGTGGCTTGGAGTAGACACGTTGGTGTTAAAGCTTCTGCATCCTAGAAGCCTTGAGGGCTTGGTTCTAATCTTGGTGAGTTTGCATGCTCACTAGGCTTGGGTAAGGCTTACTTAGTCGTAGAGAAGACCTAGAAATGTCAAGAGGCGTCTAATATTACACGTCATGTTAGACCTTAACTCTGATATTGTGACAGTTTGGGCATTTCCCTTCCCAAACAAATAGCCTACCCATTTTATTTTCCCATTATAAACCACTTTGATCCTTATATCCTTTTATTTTATTCACCACATTTTTAAACCCGAGCCTATTTCATTTTTCTTATTTTTGTTACACTTCTTCAAGATAATTTGAGATTATTTCTGGGAAAACCAGAAAACAATTGTTCAATAAATACATTGTAGAATCAAACAAAACAGTCTAGAAATTTACCCTGTTCGAACAGCAAAAAATAATGCAGTTTGGTTGAAACAGTGCAAAAAAATTCAAATAATGCAGTCTTGATTTGCTGAGCAGAAAATTCAGTGCATAATTTTTTTTGTTCGAGCAGAAAAAAAGAAAAACCAAATGTTTTTAAAAAGGAAAAAGAAATAAAAGGAAAAACATAAAATTGAGTGAATTTCGCCTTCCTTTCATTTTTTACCTTTCTTTGATTTTTTTTGGAATAGTCTCTACATTGTCTTGAATTTTAAAACCTTGTTTCTCGACCTTTATCCTACCCGAACATTAGTCTCGTTACAACCCAATTTGAAGTCCTCTTGATTGTTGCAACATTTTCATGCTAAGTAGTGGAGATTATATTTAGTTACAAGCCTACGGAAATGTGTTGATTAGTTTACGCTTGAGCGATTCTTTCACTCGAAACACATGAGCGAAATGAGTGAACTCATGTGAGGAACTAAGTCTCGAATTCTTTGAAATTGATGGATGATTGAAATGCCATTATTGATTTACACTTAATTGATTATATCTTGCTTGATTTTTCTTGAATTTCAACATTTACTTGACTGAGTTTGCTTATAAACTTTGGAAATTCTGTGAAATTAAGATTGACAACTTTAGATTGTTGACATGGTAATTGAGAAATGCTTGAGGACATGCATTGAATAAGTGGGGAGAATTTGATTAGTGTTTAAATTATACATTATTTTATGATTAATTACTCCTTTATTAGATAATTTTAGTTGCTAACTTGGGCCTTTTCATTCATTTTCTATACATGACATTGAATTCCATAAATTATACTAAGAACAATTAATCGTGCAATTTTTTATTTTTCGGGATTCATGGATGGCTTAGTGGGCACGACTTGGGATATGACACACCCGACATGGCGTCTAGTCAGCGACTGATGTTGCAGCTGACATTATGATGACGGAGCAAGTGACATGGCACCCATTAACAGCTTCTAGGAGGCCCAGTCAGCAGCTTCGAGAAGATCATATTAGCAGTGGTGTGGAGAATGAGACTTAGCCGAATTTTAATTCTAAATTAAGATTTATCTTATTTTGTTTTTAGGAAGTATCTTTTGTTTTGAATATTATTTTCTACTTTTTTAGGATTATAAATACCCATTGGGGTAAGCCTCTAAGCATCTATTTTCATTCATAATTCATTCAACTCTTGTTTCTTTCTTCCTTTAGATTTATAAAAGTTTTTCTTTCTTTTTACTTTTCAAGTTACTTTATTTTTTCTTTCAAAATGCTGAGTATGGTTTCTAACATGCTTACCTAAGTTTTCTATAGCCAAGGGATATAGCAATGACTCGATTCTAAGTCGTGAAAATCGAAAAGCACTTCATACCTTCAAGGGTTACATTTTTAGTTTTCAAAAATCAAGGATCAGTAATCGACCATCCTTTTATAACCAAAGCGATTTCATTTCAAAAAGTGCACGTTAGAATTGAATTTCGGCTTCGATTAATAGTTGGGAAGAATGATCGTCCTGTGGCACATTCGACTTCCTGTGAACAAACTTAGCAGTGGTCCGCTAAGCGAAACTGAAACCGGGTTAGATTCTCAATTGAAAAGATAAAATATGAGTCGGGTTTTTCCAGAATTTAAAGGTGTTGAATTAATAAATGATTGCTACTATTAACTCACAAAGAGTCGGGATCTGAAAAATGATTTTAGATTCTCAATTCATATGAGAGAAAAACAAGTTATAGGGGTTGGGCCCTATAGACTGTAACCAATGTGAGCCCGAAGGTAAAATTCTATTCGAGGATCTATTTAAATCGAGGCACAAGCTTTAGCCCAAAACTGATTTTTACCAAATGAATTTTATTTTCTTTATTTACTATTTTATTTGATTTCAATCAATATTATTGCTTCGTTTTAATTCTCCAAAATTGTCCCTCTAATTTCTTTTACAAATCACGCTTGAAGCCATATCAAAAGCGAGGAAATCGTCAAACTCCTAGTCCCTGGGGATCGATCCTTACTCTCACTATTCTAATTATTATTATTCATTTTATTGGGATTATGGCTATTTATTTTTGACATCATAACGAAGCATGTCACCTACTAGGTTCAACAGAGTTCAAAGACTCTTTCCTTTTTCTTTGTTTTATGTGATAGTCTCTAGCAAGATTTGGTTCGTGATCTCGCAAGTTGTGCTACTATGAACTAGTCATACCATTGTTTTGTCCTGGGAGACTGACGACTGAGATATCTCGAGCACCAAAGAGTGTCCGAAAATCTGTTTTAAGGAAACTACGTAGTTGCATATCTCAACCAGATTCAAGTTCGATATTCTATTATTATTCGGGTTTTTTACTCTAATATATTTCTTCTACTTTATTAATAAAAATTTAATTTAATTTTTTATTTTATTTTCATCTCGATTGTATAACATTATCGTATAATATTTATTTATTTATCTAAGCCGCCATAAAGTTCTCAAAATGAAATTTCTGACAAAGACAATATTCAATTGAAGTTGTTAGAAAAAAACTATACATATATTCTCACACCTTATTTAACAATAAATGATAATAATAAGTACAAACATTATGCTGCAAGTGGAAGATTTTTTTTATACTAGTCAAGCTTAAGGTGCTAGCACGTTTTTCGAATTGGGCAAACAGTGATATAAAATCCATGGAACTTGAACTTAATAATGCACCAGAGAGTGAGTTCCCATTAGACGTTTAAAGAGCTTTCATTTATACTGTTTCATAGCAATTGTTGCAGAAATGGAAATTCATATTACTTCAAAGCAACTGGTTAAGCCTTCCTCTTCGAAACTTCATCTTTTGGAGCCCTTCAAGTTTCCCCTTTTAGACCTACTCGCTCCAAGAAAGTATACTCCGGGAGTCTTCTTCTACGCTAAACTCAGTGATTCCGATATCGACAGTTCCCAATTCTCAGAGCAACTAAAACAATCACTCTCGAAAGCTTTGGCTCAGTTTTACCCTGCTTCTGGTCGGCTGTAGAACAACCTTTTATTACTGATTTCGACGAGGGAGTTCCGTATGTTAAAACCAGGGTGAAAGGCCGGTTATCCGATTTCATTGGCCAAACTCAAAATCTAGAGGCAATAAACCGATTGCTTCCTTATTGACCCTTTTGCTATATTCAAGACTCAACAGCTCCCCAATTGGCTGTTCAACTCAACATCCTCAACTGCGGTGGGATTGCACTTGCTTTGTGTGCTTTCCACAAGGTCTTCGAAGGAACAACTGTGTCTGCTTTCATGAACAGTTGGGCAGCTTTCAGTCGTGGCTAAAATGGGGAAATACCAAATCCTGGACTGTTAGGGGCATCGTCAATGACGTCCGGCGTAAGATAACAAGGACTTACGTGTTTGATGTCAATGCGATATCGACTCTTAAGATGAAAGCGAAAAGCAAAAGCTTGGAGCATCCTTCCCGTGTATTAGTTCTCAGTGCATTCCTATGGAAACATGGCATCCAGGCATCTCGATCAGAGTCAGGAACTCTAAAACCAGCTATTTTATGCCAGCCAGTAAACATTCGACCCAGATTGAAGCCCCAATTACCGATTTATTCAATAGGGAATCTGTATTCGATGGCCCTAATGATCCCCAGGTTGTTCTACAAGTGTTTAAAACTATAGCAGACGGACTCATCCATGTTGCAGAAATGGTGTCAAAAGGAGATGCAGATTTTTTTCATTTTAAGCTGCTTGTTGAATACTTTGGATGCAGATGCAGATTTTGGGTGGGGAAAGCCCACTCTCATTAGCACTCCAGCGGTTGATAACCGTAATCGAGATCTGCACAATTGGTTCTATATGAAAAACGCCAAGCAGCGCAACCATTGAAGTATGGATTACTCTGTCTGACCAAGAGATGGATTTTCTTGAACATGACCCAGAGTTCCTGGCATTTGCTTCTCCAAAATCTTGCTTTGATAAAAGTAAGATCTAAACATAAACACAAAGAAAGGGTATCTCCCAAATTTAAAAACATTGGTTCCAGTGCTAAGTTTCTTAGTTTTAAAACTGTTGTGTTAATAATCAAAACTATCAAGTTTTGAAATTTGTTTCTATTTGTTGATGTCTTTGTACAATCTGCCTCGCTAGAGGCTACTATAAGTTTGATTCAAATAATTGATGGCTTTGGTTTTGTATACAAATAAAGTAAATAGGTTACATCCACATATTACTAAATACAACTACTTCTATTTTTTTAAATATCTCTAATTTACTCGTGTATGAAACAATCATATATCCTTAAAAAGTATCGAAAGTAGATGTAGCTAATCAATTCAAGATGTCAGCTGTTAACAATCAGACGAGTCGAAACAATCAATCAACTCAAGCAAGAGACTTTGAGAGGAATTTGTTTCATGCTACTTGTATTTAATCTACCAGAGAATCTCCACTATAAAAGGTTGCGACTTATACTGAAGGATCCATTGATGTGAAAAAGATGATAGTCCTTAAAGACAATCTTGTTAGATGGTGTAAGTGCTTTATGAAAATAAAAGATGTTGCAAAAAGTATGCATATTGATGGAATTAAATGCCCAACAATCATTCGATTAAGTGTCTGAAAGTTCTATTAATCTTCAAATATGAAACCAACAGAGAAAGTCTTGAAAGATAATTTAAGTTCGTTGAAAAAATGGTTTGAAAAGGTGGAAGTTTGGTCGAAGATAGAGTGTCTTAACCATCAAGCATGTCTGTCATGTAAAAGTATTCCGACGTTTGTATGGAGCCAAAAGGCAATTCAAAATTTAGCAAAGAAATGGGATGAACTTATCTCTATCGATAAGAGAACATTGAGTCCAAGTTCGTTTGATAGGGTGTTGTTTCAAATAACAACAGAATGTATCTGAGATTTTTTAAAATTAGTGTATCTGAGGTTGAGTCATGCTTTAATCCAGAGTCCATTTGAGATGGGTCGTTGGAAGGTAACGAAGAAGCTTTCTCGGCCATACATAAGGAGAGTGTTTTAATGGAATTAGTGCCCGGAGTTTGTTTAGAGACTACAATGCTTGTTGAAATTAATGGCGATGCTAATACATGCAATTCTATGGGGGGAGTATGCAGGTACTCGTTTATTTAACTTATTTAAAAATTAAAACTAGTAAACTAATTAAATTTTAATATATTTGAGTAAATGTATTAAGTAATTATAAAATACTAACATTTGAGTTAAACATTTCTTTTAGACCTTGTTTTTGTCTTGTTATCTTCTCAACTTGTATGAAATGAGTAGCAAATCAAGTAAGAGAAAAGCAAAGAATATGCTTACCCTAAGTATATTTCTTCATCAAATCAATGGTCCAAATGTGATTATATATGAAGCAAGTCACTTTCTTCGCTTCCTCAAACACTTTTGCTATAATAGACTTTTTTTCCAATATCCTCAAGCAATAAATTTAAGCAGTGAGGTGCACATGAGGTCCAATAAAGATGGTTTATTTTCAACATTAATCTTTTCCCAGCTGCTTTCATTGATGTCTTATTGTCGTCACTATTTGGATAACGTACCCTTCCCCAATTTTTTCAATAACTTTATCTAATAAATTGTAGTTGAATTCAGCACTACGAACGCTCGAGACATCCACATATTTCCAAAATATGGTTCCTTTACTACAATAAACAAGGAAGTTGATGATGTGTATTTGATTTAAACTTTTGGTCTAACCATTACACATCAGAGTTGCACCCAATTGTTTTCAATGCATCTTCAGTCCATTTACCAGTTCACGAACTTGTTCATACTTCGATGTCAAATACACATCTGAAATCTTGTAAGGTGTTAGGAGCTTTACACCTTGTTCAACTTCCAGTGATACTTGAATTAAGTTATAAAACCAAGGCAAGCTTGTTAATTGAAAAAGAAGTCGAAAGTCGATCATATATTAAAAATTTTGAGATCGCTTCACCCATCTTTTTACCCAATGTATTTAAAATAGATTTGCTAACCTTTGGTTGTCTTGAGCTTTTGCTCTTAATCGGTTCAGGTATAGTACCCTTTAAAGTAAATTCAGTCTCACTTGGGATGTATCTTTTTCCACGATATTTTCCAAACGATCCATGAGAAGAGAATCGTCCTTCTTCATAAACGTTACCCCAACCACCTGTACTTCGTCTGAAATCTTCTCTTTTATGCCACTCTTGTTCTGATTAGATACTTTCTTGAGTGGCTTGTCTCATAGAAGCAACATCATCGATGAATTCATCTTCCTCTTCTCTTAATTGTGATAAGAATTCATATGTTCTCCTTTTTTTGTCCATTTTCTTTTCCTTTACTTCTTTAAGTAATTTCATCATGCTTTCTCTAATGATACATGTAATCAAATAAATATAATTCACACTATTAATCGTGTATAATCTTTATTTTTAACATTGAAAAATAATTGTAAAGAACATTTGTAAAAAAATAGTTATAAAGTTTTACATACCAGTGACATTAGGGCATAGTATAACTTCATCGGTTGTATGAGCAATGTGCTCTTTAAAATGTTTTATACCTTATTTCGTAACTTTCCACAAAGTTTACATAGAACATTTCGTTTCGAATTTGGAACTGGATCTCCTAAGTCTCAACCTATATCTTTGCTCGGTGCACCTTCTAATCCTTCAGTTGGAAATTTTTCAGTTTGGGTGGCATGCTTCAATTTTAGTAAAAACTAAAATTCATTAAAATAAATTTAATGTATTTTTTAACTTGAATTATTATTTAATTATACTAGTTCAACATCAAAATGCAATGAAATATTAAAAATGAAGGTTAAATTTTTTTAATGGAATTTGATTTAACTTTAAGAACACACGTAAATTAAAATAAAAGTGTAAACTTAAAGAACACAATACTTGGACTAAATTAAATAAAAACTAAAGTTTTCATTCTAAAGTAAGGATTAAATTATAAATTCTAAAAGGTGAGGGGATGAAAAATTAATATACCCCTTAAAATATATTTTAGAATTTATTTAAAAAAAAAATTGTTAAATGGAAAATGAGAGTGGGAGTTGGCGGCCCAAACATATACATTTTGTTTTTTGAATTGAAAATCCAAACATAATATTTAAAGAAAATTCCAGAAGCTATCTTATTCTCTCCAAGTCCTAAGTCTCCTCACTTTCAACCTTTCATTTTCACATTATTCCATCGAACTATGGATTTTTTCTCTTCTATTTCTCTCCTCACTTTTAATCTTTTCTCCTCTAAACTTAAATCTAGGGATTTTTTTATAGAAAATTAATCAAAAATTTCTGCTTTTCTTATTTTTTACCATCTCAAATGGAAGCCGAAGCCAGTTCCATTAATGCTCAACTACTTCACAGGCCACGAGGCTCAATGGACATAAGATTTCCCCCAAAATAGCTTTGTTTTACCGGCTTGTCCCCTTCTCAGTTTGATCTTTTTCATGGTGAATGGTGAGTCTTGTTGGATGTGCTCTTTATTTTGTTTAGATTTTACAGAGTTTCTTTATAATAGACCATTTGTTTGAAATTTGGTTGTTGTGCTGCCGATTCAATTCGTCACCATTTAAATTGAGTTTGGATTACTTTCTTTTGTATTATTACAATATATTTTCTCTAATTTGTTTTCTTTTGCATAGTATAGATTACAGGGAATATACTCCTTGCATATTTGGGTAAGAATTTCATCTTTTTAAATCTGTTTTTTCAATAACTATTGAAAAACAGTAATTACATCCTTTGTTGATGTTATACATCGATACGTGTTAAATTTCAGGAAAAATTAGAGGCGCAATGGACTGCTTCGACGTGAATCTGCTTGTTGGATTTCTCCTTAATTGGAGAGGTTCTAGAAAATTCTAGAGCTTTCTGTAGAAGTGTAGAATTTTCTAGAACATTCCGGAGAACTCTAGAGAAGTGTAGAACTCTCTAGAAGCTTGTGGAAGAGTGTGTGGAATCCTCTGGAATATTTTGGAGATGTGTGGAACCTTATGGAAGAGTATGGAAGAATATGGAAGGGAGAAAGAGTGTAGAGCTTCCTAGAGTGTGTAGAACATTCTAGATAATTAATCTCAACTATTGGATGTAAGTAATCTCCACCATTCATTGTGGAGGTGGAGTAGTATAAATAGGGGTGAGAGACTTCATTCCAAACCATACAAAATCCATGAAATCCAAGCTTGAGAAACTAGAGAGTTAGAGAGCCTCTTTGAGAGAGAATAGATATAGCTTGGGAAGTCTTTATCATCAAGCTTGAGTGAGTCACCAAGTGTGAGTCAAATTTTGTGAATACATCCTTATAATCCTACTATTCTTTTGTATAGTGGAAGAATCTCCAAATTGAAGAATTAGATTATTGTGTTCTCTTTACTATATTTAATATCTAAGTGCATATCTTAACTTCACGAAGCGGGAAAGATCGTGATTCCCAATAGTGGTACCAGAGCCAAGTTCATTCGTAGCCGTAATTAGCTTGTACAATTCAAGATGGAGGATAACGTTGCTCATGATGGAGACATGTTCAAGCTCATAACAAATAACTACTCATATTGGAATTCGATCCTTCAAGAGAGAACAGAAGGTCGGTAATGTTAAGCCAGACCAATCAGCCCAACAAAGAAGCAAGAAGATAATAGTACTACTGTTGTAGTATCAAAAGAAGATCTGTTATATCTCGTTGATGAAGGCAATATCCTAAACATTGCTTATGATGATAGCTCTTGGATTGTCGATTTTGGTGCTTCATTCCATGTTACTCAACATGGAAGTTTCTTATCATCTTACCGAAGCAGTGACTTTGGTACGGTGCAAATGGGAAATCAAGACGGGAGCAAAATCGTCGGATAGGAAACATCAAC